CGTGCTGATGTTGCTACATGCCTTACTTCTTGCCTATCTCACACTGCGAATTTTTCTAAGCTCTATACTAAACATTAAATCTGTTACGAAAAAAGAACTAAACAAAATGAACACCAAACCATCAGCTTTAAAAAAGGACTCGTAACTGGAAAAACCGAATGAAAAAAGAATGTTAACAACAAATACTTTTTCACACCTAACACAGTTCTGCAGAATCAGAATCAATGTTTAGTTTAAGCAAGTGAATGAGCCAATTGGAGTAAAGTGCCATGCAGATTTAATTTTTTCCGACTTGTGACAATGCAGCTATCGATTCTTTTTGCATGCTAGCATGCTAGTTAACATTCGTGTCAGTCAGCTGTTGGCTCTCACGCTGGCCAGTAGAATCTTCCTGCCTATTCGTAGCAGCCAGCTATAGGCTCTCACTCTGGCCAGTAGAAAATGGCCGCAAACTACGTGAAAACTGCCATAGAAGCACGAAAAAATTGATTATTTCCACTATCGATGGAGTTGGGAAATGCGAAGTCGGTCTTGACCTTCCCGCTAATTTGGAGCATGTCCATGCAAATTTTGGTGCAAATCCGTCGAAACACACACACACACACACATCCTGCCTTTTATAGATAGAGATTACTTTTGCGCCTTAGAATTTTAGTCTCCCGTTTAAAGGAGACGACAGCGTTACATACATTCATGACGAAATGGAAAATGTTACATTAAGTTTTACACAGATATGTACAGATTTCTATATAAAGACGGAAGCATAGCTGAATCTCTGTAAGAACACAGAATATCGGGTTGCGTGCATTGGCTTACACTTATATTAATCACAGCAATTATAAAGTTTGGCACTCACTTAACAGCAGGGCAGTCAAATAAACCTGTCTGCTGCGTGAATTATATGGTGATTGTGGGTAAAACGGTTTGTGACTGGGATGTAGTCGGTTAAATGTCCTAAAATATACGGTGAGATCAAGTGATCTTTCTACACCTGCTGTTATTTTCTTTTACAAAATAGTTCGACGTCTGCACGGACGAAACAAGTGTCGGGGGCTATAGTGGGGAAGCGGACATTCTCATTCACTGAAAACAGAGAACGGTGGGTCGTGTCGAGAGACGGGGATGGGAGCTAAATTTGCTACAGGGAAATCTCCCAGAAATGTATGGAAAAAAAACCTGAAATAAACTTATCTTCACTCCGGGAAACGAGCTTGAATACACTGTCTGCAACGAAAAACGGAGAAAAATCCCGAGTGTTAACCTGTCGTTTACACGAAAGTGATAGAAAATACAGAAAAAGAAAATCACATGAAAAGAAAGAGAAAAGGGTTCAGCCTGCTGAGCATCAAAACAGCCGGTGGTATAGACTTAAAATGCATCCGCCACCTCGCCGGAGAAAAATAGTTCTGGAATCTAATCTAAAATAGGCTTAGCTAAAAAATGAAAGAAACATTTGAAGAAAATAGAAAAAAACAATTAAATAAACGAAAGTAAAGATAAACGGAATATATTTCATAAAGAGAAATATGTAGTAAGCAGACGATATAGAAAATGAAAGACAAACGAAGGGAGAAGCGGAGGAATAAGAAAAAGAAAATTTTGAGATTATAACAGGCAAACCGCAAAAGCACCTACAGAAGGTAGCAAAGGAAAGCGAGAAGAAAGGACTAACTATAAACTAAAGAAGACAGACTATATGGTCGTCAGCAAAAGGATGAGCCCAAAAGGCAATTTAAATATCGGTGATACAAAAATCAAACAAATATTTAAATATTTGGGAAGTGTTCTAACAGAGAACGGAAAGTGCAACACTGAATCCAAAAACGAACTGGAATGACCAAAAGCTAAACAGACTATAAAGACAGTATTTACATTAGTCGGACTATTGTCCTCATTTTTGTCGCCATATTTGTCACAACGTTTCGGCCGTTGTACGCTCCGGCCTTCTTCAGGTGGTAGGAATTTCGAACTGAACCCTTTATTTCGATCACTGGGGTAGACTGTTCTAGTTCCACGTGCCATGTTTGATGGATGTCAGTTTTCAGTTATCTCCTGCTAATTTTCCCTCTGAAATTTCTCCACTGCCTTAACCAGGAATTGAACTCACCTTCTTTGGGTCTGTCACTGGATCTAACCAACGCCTTTATATATAGACAGACTCAGACTTTTAAGAAACAGAAAAAAAAAATTCGTTACAAAGAAAAGAGTACTGATCTGTTATGTGATATTTGTCGTCTGTATGGCAGTGAATGCTAGACAACTTCCTCAAAGACGAAGAAGAGTCTTGAAGCATCAAAAATCTGGTTCTAAAAAAAGATGCTGAAGATAACCTTGGAACGAACATGTGAATAATGACAATGTTTTAGAGAAAATAGAAACAAAAAGGAAAGTTATACATAACATCAAGAAGAGGCAGTTGACATGTCTCGGATATATAATGAGGAAAACTGTCTTAGTTTTGTAGCTGGAGGACATATTGACGTCAAGATGGAAAGAGGAAAGCATCGAATAACATATTTAACAAGCTCGTGTAAATGATTGACAGAACAGGGATATAAAGGGCTATAAAAGACAATAAGTTCTGAATAAAAATGATTGCCTAGTTCTCAGCTGATCTATCGAAAAATAATAATAATGATAAAGCTCTTGGTCAGTAATTTCACTTTTGATCAAGAGCAGCTATGAATAGATCCTGATAAATCTCGCGTTACTTTGGGACTAGAAACTCATGAAGCCAGAACAAGAGAAAATACAGATTTACCAAGACCTGGCAGGGAAATTGGTATAAATATACCAAGTGGCTGTTGAAATTGTCCCTTTGGCATTTTGCGAACTCGGAACTATTTCCAGAAATCTTTCTTGCCTCACAGGAAAACTAGTTGGGATCATTAGGATTGATTCTGTGGCAACTCTGACTGGAACGGTTGTGAGGAAATTCTCCTGCCGGTAGGAAGTGAGATATGATCATCATCACCCGACGAAAAGATCTACGTGTTGGAGAAGATATTAAATAATATTTTCAGTGAATTAAATTCTTAAAAAAATGATTTCACATGAACTTTCAATCAGCCTCTGGTGGAAAGAATAAAAACAATATCAGAAACATTAAATATTCTGTGAATATGATTTGAAAAAAATATACATGTACGACACGCCCGTGGACATACAATTTTAAAATCTGGTAATTTGATAAAGTCTTTTACAAGAAAGTAGTTTAATTTTGAAGAGAATAAAAAATTTAACTCCACGTTCCATTGACATATATTCAGAATTTACACTATTTCCATCATTCCATTGTTCTCATGTTTATTGCCATATTCACGACGTTTCGGTCGTTGTACGCTTCGACATTGTTCGAGTAATATATGTTGATATTTTGAACCATGGCCCAGTAGGTTAAAGTAATCCAAAAAGTGATTTGAGCCAAAGAGTTGTGAGTTCAATATCTAATCACAGCAGAGGGAACAAGAACTTGGAGTGTTGGGTTACTAAAGGGAATTAACTGAAACTCAGATATCCCCCAAAAGGCATGACACCTGGAATAACAACAACCCCGTGGACGAAATGATGTGTTCGGTTCGATATTCCAACGTATATCACCTGAAGAAGTCCGGAGCGTACAACTGGCGAAACGTCGTGAATATAGAAATAAAGACGAGGGCAACAGTCAAAATGAGTTACAATAGCTCATCCCAGATATTTGAACAGATATATTCAGATATTGTCTCATAAACTGTTGCTAGTTGAAAGTTTTTGATTCTCAGTAGATGATTCGTTCTACCAAGAAATAATAGATAAAAAAATCATATTAGATTTGCTAATCATTATTAATTAATCTCCTTAAAGAAAATGGAAACAAAAAATATACTTATACTTAACATCAGAAATGTAGTTCTACAGAAGAATGCTGAGAATGCCATGAAACAAACATATGCGTAAAGACGACGTTTTAGAGAAAAAGCAACAAAAAAAGATCACTTACAGTTAGAAATAGACAGTTGAAATTAGTAGGTCACATAATGACGAAAAATGGTTTTGAAAATGTTATATGCACGGGACAGATTCAAGGGAAGAGGATACCGTTCATAACTTGCCTAACAAGTCTGAATAAATGGATGGTGGAACAAGGTTTAGAATAGCTAACAAAAAGACTAACTTTATTAAGCGCTACAAAGGACATGATATTGTTAAAATCCATGATCAAGTACCCCCTGAGGGGACAGGGAACACAGAAGATTAAATTAGTCTAACTTACCACATACATATGCCTATAATTACTCTACTATTACAGTTTTATACTTCCTATGATGAAGACAAGTGATACATCACGAATTTTCATTTCTGTTTTCTATTCTTTCTAAAAGACCCAAATAGCATGAATCTCGATTTCGCACGCACATTAATGATTTTTCTTGTCAAGTTAAAACCATAGAACTCGTAATCACCATTCGTTACTTTCATATCTAAATTTTGTGAGAAAATAAAAATGTTGACAGTTTGAACGTGCAATGAATTCAGGTTTTGCCCGTTATGTGACAGCAGTTGTTAAGGAAGTCGGTTAAAGGGTGAGACTTCCATTAACAGACCTGTTTCCCCATGTCGACTTGGACGTGATATCAGCATTCACACTCAGCGATTTTCACGATCTGTGCTCCAGTAGGTGAGATTGTCAATGCGTCAGTAATCGTTTTTTTTTAATTCTTTTATGAAGTTTACTATGCATACTAAAAGCGGGGCATCGAGCAATAAATAGCGCCATAGACTGTGAAAAAAAAAAAAAAAGGCAGACAAATTGTAAGAGCAGCGATTTTACAAAAATAACTTTTAGAAATTGAAAATGACGATCGCCGTCGTGCAATAGTGACAAGACACGCCCTTTCAGACATATACTGAGTAAATCAGAAGAAGGTAAGTATTTCCACGTATTTCTTTTCAGGTGTCAGCCAAAGTACTGCCTTCCATACTTTGCGTGAACAAACGAATATAAAATAACAAATGGCTTACGGCCACATCACGTTTAAACACCGGCTCCCGTACGATCAACGAAGATAAGCAACGTCGAGCCTGGTTAGTAGCTAGATGGGTGACCGCATAGGAATACTAGGCGCTGTAAGATTGAATGTGCGTCTGGTGAAATGGATAATTCCTCGGAATTCTAAATCGGAGAGCCGAGTTCTAATTCCAGTTGGGTACGTTATATTCATTTAGGAATCCACCTCTTCTTCTCCTCGCTATGGGTTAATTAGTACGACGTGTATACTTAAAGCATCTCAAAACAAATCTTACGCTCTTAAAAAATATAATTTCTGGCTTTAAATTGTTGGTTTCATTGATGTCGTTTTGTGGCATATCAATCTCTGTGGGTCATTTAAGGCGAAAATCTAAATATTTTGCTCACTACAGATAAAATATATAGTTAGTCATTTTTGCTATGAAATGTATTGTTGGCCATTTCGGCGATGAAATGTATTGTTGGTCATTTCGTCTATGAATTGTATTTTAGTACTTTCATGCTGTTGTGTTTGTGTTCACTATTTGTCCATAGCTGGGGCCCTAGATGGTACTATAACTCCGCTAGCTTTAAATAAACTCTAATAATTTGATAGGTCTTAAAAATGAATCAATCAATCCATAAAATACCAAATATATGTCACCATCCAACAATTTTGGTGTCTGTATAAAATGAGAACATACTAATATGCATAAAGAAATGATCGTGTTAGTCTGTAACTATACCACTGTAAATATTAAATTCCACGCGTTCTCTTTAATAAAAAGAAAGTATTAAACTATTAACAATATTGCAGGTGCGACTGTCGTTGAGATGAAGAGTGATACAGAAAGTTTGAATCACTTTTCTTAATATTTTAAATTCAATTAATCTAGGAAGTTGTTATAAACCAAAATAGAAAAAAGAAACGACGAAGACGAATATTATGATATCGTGACATTCAAAAAGTGAAACAGAGTTAAATTTATATATTTTTAAATTAAGAAAGTAAAACTTTATTTTATTCGGAAATAGTGTTGCCTTCTGTGTCGTCTTGGGATCCACACGCCATTAATACAAACGGTAGCAACGAAAAAGGTAGTTTACTTTTGGTATTCGTTTAATTAACTCTCAAAGCTTGGATTCTAAGAGTCAGTAGCAGGACTAACGTGACAGGAACACATGTCGCACTTTGGCCCAACGTCCCTCTGCGGGTGGTATTAGCTGGTCGCAAACCTGGGTGTGGGAGGCACATTGACGCATCAGAATACTTAGGTCCATCTGTTGAATTTGCACCGTTTTGAACTTCAAGACGCAGACAAATCAATCCATCACTGTCAGAATGTCCCACCCACTGTCCAATTTCTGGCCCTGGACTTCGCATTCTGTAACAACATTTTGTTTTTGTTTTTAGCGTAAAATTGACATTTTGAAAATAACCTTATTTTAATCCTTCAATACATTTTTAAGACTTGTAAGACTATCTTAAATGGTAGAGCAGGGTCTTCGAGATATATCAAAAAGACAAAATTTATTAAGAGCTACCATGTGCATGAAGCTGTGGGAAACCATGATTGCTTACATCCTGAAGGTACAAGGTACATAGAAGGCCATCTTAATCCAGGGATAACCTCAAGTGGAACTCGTTCATACGATCCATTATTATGGTATCAAGTAAAGGATTCGGTTTCCTCTAAGTACCTGACTCCTCTTGCTATCCTGTAACTTTACAAGAGCCAGATTTGGAAAATATTGAGTACTGCGGTTATATTTGGGTCAGATCTACAAAAACCTTACTCTCCAGCATCGATAAGAGTTCAAAAGCGTCTCCAAGTCCTTGTGGGTGACAAATTATTCTCCACCACCAGCCTCTCTCTTACTGGAGGGATGTGGCAAACCTCTCACTATCGGTACGCTACTTCGGCGGAAGTGCTCGGACGAAATAATTCCATGATCCCGCCAATTCAAATTCTCACGACAAGGATCCACCATGCCACCTACCTAGTATTACACCACCCACATTTCCTCCGTATTCCATCGGTGAGAAATAAGTTCCACTCTATCAACTTCTTCCCACGATCCACTGTTCTGTGAAACCGACTCCCAAAGGGATGCTTCCCCGATCACTACAATCTTAATTTGTTCAAAGCTAAGAGTCAACCGTTATCTTTCACTCCTAACGTAGCCCTCTAACTCGGGAGACCCCCGGGCCTTGCAAATGGAAATCTTACAATAAAAAAGGACATAAGATGAAACTACGGAGCGTCACGATCGCCTACATTCAGAAATAATATGGCATTAAAACAAAACAAAAATGAGACAACTTAACAGACATGGTATATTTATGGAGATATCATGATTACTAGAGCTTATATAACAATAGATTTCTGTATGTACTTTTCTTTATTTATCGACATAAAGCAGAAAAAAGACACATCGTAGCAGGATTTTTCTTAGTAAAATACAGTTAATACACTAGTATTAAATAGTATTTGGCAAAATGTATCTGATCGCCTTCGACCCGAAAAGAATGAGACGGAATTTATAGATTCGAAGGTTTCTTAGAAAGCAAGTTTATATTAATAATAAAGGAATATTAACGATTACCAATGCTATTAATGTAGATATATTCTACAAAAAGTAAAATAAATATTGCTCATTGTTATCTAGATTATTATATATAAGGTGACTTATATATATATATATATATATATATATATATATATATATATATATATATATCAGAGAAAAAAAAACTGATCTGCTCAACATAATAATGAGATATTCAGTTACTATTTCAGAAGGAGTTTCCCGATGTCAATAATCGCGTATAACACTCGTTGCCATAAAAAATGTTATCATAAACAGAATCTCATATTTCTAAAAATAAAAAGATTCGGCTGCCTTATCGATAAATATTTGAAATCATATACAGGGTGCCCAGTAAAAATGCAATATTTTAAGAAAGACCTGAGACAACCATTGAAAACAGTGACGATTGATATTACTGAAAAATTCAGGAAGAATTTCTGCACATTTCGTCAATCCGCACGTCGGATGATATTTGGAAAGTACGATAACTTGACGCTTCCTGTCAGTGAGTTGTTTAGCTATACGAGAAGAGCAGAACGAAAGACGAAATTTGTCTGCAAATAACCTTTAAATAACGAGTCACAAGATCGAATAGCAATTAATCAACCATAAAAGAACCAATCAGAGTTAAGTAATTATGCGAGAGTCAAATTATTATTCAAGGTCATGAATATTCAAGAAATATATTCATGTTTATTTAAGGTCAACTACTCCTTAAAGATAAAACAGTGGTAATAAATTTACCTTTTTTTTTTTTTGTTTGTTTTTTTTTGTTTTTTTTTACTGGGAAACCCTGTATATGAGAGATTCTGTTATGAAAATAGAAGGAATTTTCCCACACCAATAATCGTATATAACAACTATTTGCCATAAAACGGCATATCTTATGTTATCGTAAAGCAGAATATCACATTTCTAAACGGGATATATCCTGATGCTTAATCGATAAATTCATGAAGTCAGGACGTGGTGAAAGCATAAAAAGGATTTTCCTGTTTAGCTTTCATTTACAGTATGTGATTCACACCAAGAAAATCCAGCGTGTATGAATCGAAATTATTATCGATAAGAACGTTTCAAGAGAAGATGGTATGCGATTATTCCATTACGTACGTGGCTCACCGCAAGATGAGAGTAAAATACATTTAGCTCTCAGTGTCACACAACAGCTCCAGACAAAAAAGTTGAATCAAATGATATGGAAGGCTACCTCCTTAACAATAGTTGCAGATTCACCCCCCTACTGGTTGTCCGTTGTTGCCCCCGGCATATAAAGGCTGGCCACCCAGTTCGCTTATGATGGTGCACACACTGGACAACAAATGGGTAAGATTTTATATACGGGCCACACCAGATAGCGAAAAACGGACATTTCCGTCTGAATAAAATCCACATTCCGAGAACTCCTTCCCAATGGCATGCATGCAATCTCCTATATTAAGCGAAGTCCATGCGTGAATAAACCATATTTTTAAGTATGAAATAACTTTAATGTTTTTTCAAGTTTCAATTACGTAAAAAGCAATTTCAAAAGTGACTATTGGGTTAATTTTATAGATACATGTCCGACCTTACCCATGCATAAAATATAGCAAAAGTGATTGAAAGTAACCAGCAATTTTATTTTACAGTATGGATAAAGTAGTTCAGCAATAAACTCTAATTTCTCAAGTGTTATTCCTCGTATTTATTTTTTAAATTGGAAAAAAAAAAACATGGAGGGTAGGAAGATCTTGATATTTAGTTTGACGTACGGCTCTTGATTAATATATATACATTTACAACTCTGTCATTCGTTCGGGCATTGAATAATCTGCCATTTCTAGTCAGGTGTTCCTGCTTATTCATCTCGAGTTTCTTGAAAAAATCCCAAAAAGGATCTGTAATGTAAGCGATCGTAACATGGTATCTGTATTTCAGTAATTTCCTCATCGACGTCGTGTGGCGTGTATCTGTCTTTTCTACGAATATTTTTAATGGCATCTGCTCTGATAAGCTTTTATCCCTGGTGCCCAGACTACGGGAAATTAAGCGTGCGACTAGACAGGTTCCTTGGTCCTGCGAGTTCCATACTGTATTAGCTAAAGTTGAACCGCCATTTCTACTCTAAGAGTTTCTTTTGTCGCATTTCCCGCCTGTGGAATTCACTTCCGTTTCCTTTTTTCACCGAAAAATTTAAATGAAACATCAATCAACATCTTCTGTATTTTTGTATCCTGTTCATTTATTGTCTTTTCCTCAATCCTCCTAATTACCAGCCATTTTTTTTTTTTTTTACTTTCACACCCAGTAAAACCATCTGTCCTCGTGGCATTTCTACCTTCTTGGAGTGGAAAATTTAAAAATACTCTCATACACACATGCACATACATTATACTATATATATATATATATATATATATATATATTATGATGTTGATTTGGGGATAATAAAGACAAACGCCAAATAATACGTAACAATAAAAAAGGGGTTATTCGGTTGGTAAGTAGGTACAGAAATCGCCTGAGTAGTCTATAACTAACTCAGCCAAGAACTTCTCCGACTCTGTCTGTCTTTTGACATGCCACTATTTAACGTCTTTGTTTGTAGACAAGTTCATCTTCAAGAGGGGTGGTAGGTTTCCTACACAACAATATATATATATATATATATATATATATATATATATATATATATATATATATATATATATATATATATATATAGTGTGTATCAGAAAAATGTTGACCAAATTTGGTGGTGCGGGTTCCTCACACTAAACAAGGACAATAGTCCATATAAGATATGTCCACAAATCCTTAGTTTTTTATTTATTCAGTTTAAAGTTTACGGTAGACACTGTTACATGCACAATCCAAGATACAGTAACGCGAAGATAAATAGCAACAAATATTGGATGAATCGGCTAACTTCAGTCTAGAAACGCAATCTGATCAAGCCATACAGTCTTATGTCCAATACGATTCCTACGGAATTATGTAAGAATCATATCTGCCTGCTCACGATATGAATATGCTGCCATTGTTAAACGGAAAACTTCTCAGTTAAATCAATACTACATAATATATATATAGCCATCCACGGAGACTTTTTCGCTGTATGACAGCTCATCAGGGTGGCTAGACGTCCGGTTGCTTCAAGCTAGGATCGAAACCCGAGCGAAATGGCGGCAGTCGGAGAATCTAATCTCCTATATATATATATATATATATATATATATATATATATATATATATATATAAAATTTTGTATATCATATAAATAGTAGCAGCATTAATGAAAAAGGGATAATTAAAGACATTAGAAACCTGGAGGAATTTTAATGTTTAAATGGATACACACGGGATATTTCGCATAACAACACACTTAATGCATTGTTTACTCACCAGAATGAGTCTGACGATTGCTCGGCCTTTTGAACAGGTGTAAATGATTATCCCTTATTTACTGTTTAGGATTTGGTTTTCGTTACCTTGTAAAGTTTTTTTTCATTATCTTTTACACCCACTAGTTTCTTGAGTCGTAGTGGCATTATCGTTTTCCTCGGAGTGATTTGATCAAGAACAAAGAAGTAAAATGGTGCTATAATTATAAGGGAAAGCAATGTAACAATGCGAAAGCGTATAGAAGTGGTTCAATCGCTGTTAATTTCCTTATTTAATAAGAAAAATGATAAAGAACATAACCAAAAGTATACTGAAGATATCTGATTAAAATATATGTTCAGAAATATCTACGAAAAACATTAATTGAAAAGTTCAAAATTTCTACATCCTAACATTTTCAGCTTTTATATTCCTCCCACTTCTCGTCTTGGGTATAACTATAAACAACATCCGCCTCCTGGGTAAGACGATAAACCACATCCAACAGTAAGGCCTTTGATCAGGTGGTTTTGAGGAGTGTGGAATCACCTGTTAATTGCTGGTGTTCTCAGGCCCACCCTGACCCGAGATGGTAGCACCTGTTAGGACACCAGGTATGGACAAATAGTAAACCCCTAAAATTGTGTCAAAACACTATGAAAGTGTAAAAATACGCTTTTATATCAGAAATACTTTTTTGTAAGAAAATTATTATCAGAAATACATTATTACCAGGAATATATATTTTCTGAAAATATGTTACAAGAAATAAAAAAAAAAATAATAATTGTCGGCGTTAAATAATCCATTGAGGTTGACATGCTGTAAAACAAAATAAACCAACCAACCAACCCCCCTCCCTCTCTCTCTCTCTCATCTGCCTGAGTATTTTGATCAACAGAAACATCCCTTTAGTCCGATAAAGTTCTGAAGGATGTAGCGCGTCACACAATAATGTGTTCGAATTTGTCATTATATATATATATATATATATATATATATATATATATATATATATATATTGTGTAACCCGGATATAAGAGAGATTTTCTCTGGTCCCAAATTTGAGCCTGTGTTAATGTATATAAAATAGACCAAACCCGGATATAAGAGACTTCTTCTCCGGTCCTGACAACTCTCTTATATCCGGGTTACATTGTATATATATATATATATATATATAAGAATATAATATATCAATTTATTTTTAGGAAATAAATTTAGCCATTGATGCGAAGAGGACAGTGTGTTCGATTCCAAAATAATAACTTATTTTCTGTCGACTTTTAAACTGCAGTCATTTTGGGTCTTCATTTGAAAATGTTTAACACGTGATAAAAAATAGATAAACACGAATATAGGTGCTCGTAGATATTAGGCAAAAATAATATTTATGCAAGAATAATATGTAATTTCTATTATTTTCTCATGGTTATTATTTGTTATATTCCATTTTAATTTGAGTTTCCATTACTGGCATATTTTTTTCAATAAAGTACATTACAAACCCTGCTATAAATACATGTTATCAGCTTAATGCCTTGTGGGACGTAAGCTATCTAAGGAGTTTTCAGTAATTGAATTGTTCCATCGGGTGAGGTGACTGGCCCTTCGCCCAGATTCTGTACACTGAGGAAGGATTCGTTTTCTGTCGATATTTTCTCTTCCCTTAGACATTCACAGGTTCCCACACTAACGACTTTCATCTAACCTGGTTTGGCAATTCAAAGGTATGTTTTTCTTGGACTGGTTTCCACTCTATCGTTAAGGGAACATTTTTCCAGACTCTTTAACCCATAGTTCTGTCGAGAAAAGATCAGTTCATGCTTTACCTATGATATCTGCGTGAAGGTGAATATAACTAACTCGATTCGAATTCGAGCTCTGCCTGCTGTTTTCTCGTTTCTATGTGTATATATCTATACACCACCAACATATCAACAATCCTTTTTGTTGTGTCGGAAACCTACAACTTCTCTTGAAGATGAACTTGTCTGCGTCTGTGAACAAAGACTTTAAATAGTGGCATGTCAGTTGACATGGAAGATTGATAGACAGAGAAGTTCTTAGCTGAGCTAGTTATTGACTACTCAGGCGATTTCTGTACCTTTTTACCAACCTATTAAAACCCTTTTTATTGTTACGTGTTATTTGGCGTTTGTCGGTACTAACCCCAAATCAACATCATAACATTTTTCATAAAGGAGACAATATATGGGAGAGGGACAGAATATAAAAAGAAAAAATAGTGAATTAAAAAAAAAAACGAGAAATAGTAAATTTACAGAAGGAATGAACATATAAATTATATAAATGCGTATATGTCATATTCCTATATATAGTCACGGGCGATCGTGGTTCTCCACAAATTCCTATCACTCTTTTTTGCCAAGCCAGACGCCAACTCTCCATTACGCCATCCATTCATACAAGCTTTTCAAGTAAGTGCCTTACCATATTTCTCTTTGATGTGCTCTGTGGGGTTCAAGCTTTCCAGACACACCTTAGAAATTCGGTCTATAATGTGGGATTTTTATACTTAAGATTATTTTTTTTTAATTATTAGATTACGCCAATACCGACAGTATATAGTTTATTACATCTAGGTCAAAAATGGTGGTTTACCCATGAGTAATAACGGCCGTGTATGATATCTCTCTATCTATCTTAGTCTGTTACTTACTATCTAAGTCTGTTCCTATCTATCTATCTATTTTAGACTGTTCCTATCTATATATCTCTCTATCTTAATTTGTTCTTTTCTTTCTATCTTCATCTGTTCCTATCTATCTATCTTCATCTGTTCCTATCTATCTATCTTCATCTGTTCCTATCTATCTTTATCTGTTCCTATCTTTCTATCTTCATCTGTTCCTATCTTTCTATCTTCATCTGTTCCTATCTTTCTATCTTCATCTGTTCCTATCTTTCTATCTCCATCTGTTCCTATCTATCTATCTTCATCTGTTCCTATCTATCTATCTTCATCTGTTCCTATCTATCTTTATCTGTTCCTATCTTTCTATCTTTATCTGTCCCTATCTATCTATCTTCATCTGTTCCTATCTATCTTCATCTGTTCCTATCTATCTTTATCTGTTCCTATCTTTCTATCTTCATCTGTTCCTATCTTTCTATCTTCATCTGTTCCTATCTTTCTATCTCCATCTGTTCCTATCTATCTATCTTCATCTGTTCCTATCTATCTTTATCTGTTCCTATCTTTCTATCTTCATCTGTTCCTATCTATCTATCTTCATCTGTTCCTATCTATCTTCATCTGTTCCTATCTTTCTATCTTCATCTGTTCCTATCTTTCTATCTTCATCTTTCCCTATCTGTTCTTCATCTGTTCTTTTTCTATCTTCATCTGTTCCTATCTATCTATCTTCATCTGTTCCTATCTATCTATCTCCATCTGTTCCTATCTATCTATCTCCATCTGTTCCTATCTATCTATCTCCATCTGTTCCTATCTATCTATCTCCATCTGTTCCTATCTATCTTCATCTGTTCCTATCTATCTATCTATCTATCTATATTCATCTGTTCCTATCTATCTATCTATCTATCTATCTTCATCTGTTCCTATCTATCTATTTATCTATCTTCATCTGTTCCTATCTATCTATCTATCTATCTTCATCTGTTCCTATCTATCTATCTATCTATCTCTCTTCATCTGTTCCTATCTCTCTTCATCTGTTCCTATCTCTCTTCATCTGTTCCTATCTCTCTTCATCTGTTCCTATCTATCTATCTATCTTTCTTAGTCTGTCCCTATCTATCTATCTATCTATCTATCTATCTTTCTTAGTCTGTCCCTATCTGTCTATCTACGTTAGTCTGTCCCTATCTGTCTATATTAGTTTGTTCCTATATATCTATCGATCTTAGTCTGTTTCTACCAGTTTATCGATATTAGTCTTTTAATCTCTGCCTATATATTTCCGCTTCTTCATATCAATGAACATGTGTATCTATCTATATATCTATCTATCGCCTAGTAAGACAGTAATACCATGAAAATCCGGTAGGTGAAACCTTGGTAGGTTGGTTCTGGCTCACTAGATTTTTTTTACATTTTGCTCTACTTATTGTATTGAGTACTTTTTTACGTTTTTACGTAATTTAATTTGTCGTCTCTTTTTTTTAACTTTGGCAAAACATTGCATTGTTAATTGATTATTTTCAACCAACAAGAATCTATTTAGTTTTTTCTTTTCTTACTCATTTTTTTCTCTTGATATCAGTTTGTTTAAATATATTTTTATTTAGAATTTGTATTATCCAGATTTTTTACACCGCCCGAGTAGACGTATTAAAATGATACACACACATATATATATATATATATATATATATATATATATATATATATATATATACATATATATATATATATATATATATATATATATATATGTGTATATATATATATATATATATATATTCCCAAGAGGATAGAATCAAGGTAGAACTCAATGTCCAGGACAGAGTAATTATATAATATATAAGACTCAAACACTAATATTCCAATGTAATAAATTATAATCATGGAATATTAGTGTTTCAGTCTTTTATTATATATATGTGTGTGTGTTTGTGTGTATATCTACGTAGGTAAATCTTGAACTGCTAGTAGAAGATTCTTAGAAAAGAAGAAAGCAGAAAGCGTACGGAAGACAAAGAAAACTTTACTTTTTTTTGTTCAATATCGATGTAATGACAAATGTTAAAATAAGTCTAACGACACTAGATTTCTGTGAGAAGAAAACTGTGACAGTGTGGCTGATAAAAATAGAGGGAATAGAGAGTAGAATATCTAAAATGGCGAAAAAAAAAGAGAGAGAACGGAGGGAAAACGACGAAATGAAATAGCTAAAGGAGAAGGAAAAGAAAGGCGTGTGGGTGTTTGATGAAAAATGGGTGGGGGCGCAACTGAGTTAGTATGACATTAAACTAAGGCAATCGATCGCAAGCTGAGAGATACTCATGGAAAGCGAAGATGTATGAAACGATTGCGGGGTGCGTTATTTTAAAGGTCATGTTTTAGTGGAGAATAAGACGTATACGTAGAAGAATTCAAAATATAGGTAATCAACTCATCTGTCTATGAAGTCATAATTCTTTTTTTATAAAAATCCTTGTTCATTCTATTAATCCATCAGTCTATCGGTTCCAGTAAATTATCTTCATATCACAGTGTGCTAATCTCGCTCTCTCTCACACACATATATATATATATATATATATATATTGATCGATAGGATAGTACGCTAGCTATAGAAAGATATGAAGTCAGATAGATGGATATATATTAATAGTGATAAATATGAATAGAACGCGTTAGTTGTGAATAGATGTATATATGAATATAAATATATAGACAGGTATAGAAAGATTGACATGAATGGAAAAAGATAATATATAGATATATATAATGTGATAGAGATAGATTAATATGAAGATATATATGACAGAGAGAGATATGAATAGAAAGAAATAGATAGATAATAATTAGGCTGATATAGAAAGATAGATAGATATTCGAGTATATATATATATATATATATATATATATATACACTTCACGTGAAGATGTTTGTATTAAAGTATGTACCTAATTCGTTGCATATGTGTCTATTAATCTATTTGTATATCCTAAGCGTTCCTAAATGCCTATCATCTAAGTTTTCTCATATATATCTATCACTGTGTGTATCATTTACTCTATCTTGTAATAGGCAATGCACACACACACACACATACACACACACACGTGTGTGTGTGTTTTGCGTGTATGTGTGTGTGTTTGTGTGCATGGGGAGAGAGAGAGAGAGAGGCCTATCAGTATTAAGATATATGTCGGCTTTTTTTCTCTCAATCCATATCTATATGACCAGAGGTCCATTTAACGGGTCATCCCTATCTATCGTTTCCTTTCAACTTGACTATATACGAAGCCTCATAGAGAACATAGTAGAGAATTTCGCTGTTCTCTAACTTGTACAATCATTAGTATAAAATTTAATTTAGTAGATACAAAATTTTTAAAGAATATCTTTTTCTTTCATTTTTTTATTGTTTTGGCCAAATATGAAGCGAAAATCTATGAAGTCCTTTAGATGATGCCCTACATATAATGGAAAAGAATATTTTATCAGCGTGTAATTCTGTGATGTCTAGCACTTTCAAAGACTTAACTTCTATTAGTTGTTAGAACTATCTTTGATCGAATCTTGTAGACTGCCACTCTACAATCAAGGACAAAATTCATTAACACATAACAGAAACCAAGTCACTTGAAGACTTTCCGCAGCAGTTTTAAATAATTGCTCGGTCAAGCAATGCCAAATACTTCCTTACAATTTCCACATATTATTAATAACAATAATAATAACAATAATAATAACAATCGAAGTAAAGGTGTTTAATATTTTTGGCATCTTTCATTGATTTTAGCAGCAAATGATCCACAGTTTTGTAAATTTCATCTCCTTAAATTAATCGTTCACAGATAGGAATTCATTCACCCATCAACACACCTTCCTTGGTCCCTATGACTGTTGATGTCATCATCGTTTAGGGTAATCACTATCCAGCTGGATTATCCATAGTTGTTGAAATACATCATCTTTTTTTTTTTTTTTTTTTTTTAGTCATTGTATCTCATACTTAACGAAATTTGTACAGATCCACGTGGCAGGGTTTCTAAATCAATGATTTCCTCTCTCAAAATGGAGACCAACCACGGCAAGAGATCACGGCTCTCCTGTGTTTTAATCCATCGCTGAAGTGAGGGAGAATAGATATATTCAAAAGTTTGCCATGGGTATTTGGGCAAAAGTAAGAGTTACGAACTGAACTGGAGTTCGAACTCGCATCGAACCATTACACTAACTGCATACAACTCATTAATAAGAAGGATGGTGTTGATCATAATAATAATAGTAATGGCGCATAAGAGTCAAAATATATTATATGCATCATCTGTAAAATCTGTCATTAATTAAGTGTTGTGGCCTTGTTACGGCCAGAAATAAAGGCAGAAAGAGTAGAACTAAGTTAAACAAATATATTAACAGAAACAGTAATACAAACATATACAAACGAGAGCTGACTGCTGGAAACTTCCAAAGGCAGTACCTGCTCCTCTTTATAGCTGGGAGAGTCCATGCGTGCGTGGGTAAATTACCATAAGACTAAGATATCTTAAAATAGATGTCTTCGAGGTCACATACACACTACAATTTAATAACACAGAATATCCAGTAAAGTTTAACAAACTTTCCGGGAAAAAAATACAATAAAAAATGTGTGTCAAAATAAGGGTTTTTCCTTTGATACCGCTATTATTGTATACTTCCTCGATACATTTTGCTGCTTAAAAAAAAAAATTTAGAATTTAAATATAACACAATCATATGGAACTGAATTCATTCATTTTCTTTTTTCTCGAGTATCGACAACAAAAACATTAAATGTGATTTAACTCAGTAACAAAAAAATTAAGCCGATCCAACGTGTACTTTTTATTCAATATAAGTCATTTAAAACTATAAATATTGAACATTTCTGTAGCGATTTGATATTAAATTTTCAACTATCGTTGGTAGTGATAACATGTTAAAAACATTTATAAACAAAGATTAATTCACGAAATTTACCTAGTGTATTTAAAGGTCATGGAGGGTTTGGTTTTCATTTTATTTATTTTATTTTTGTGGTCATTTAATTGTTTTCTTCATCTTTTTATATCAATGGTTGCAAAAACTTCTGTGAATTTACCTACAAATAAGATAAATTCAACTAGAGAATGATACAGGAATTGTGAAATATCAAATGTCAACTTTGTCAAATGAGAAAGAGGAATATTTTCTACAGATAAATATCCTCCTTGCGACAGTTCAAAGCGACACCTTCTTTTTTCCAATATAACGATCACGAATCCGGTGAAACATTAGTGTCTTTCGGGCACCACATGTACTCCAGCCGTTTTAGAAGTGGTGTTATTTGGCAAGAAAACCTGACGGATTCCAAGCCTCCCCGGCTAGATTTTTGAATTCAGAGTTTTGCCAACTGTTCTAGAAGAACAGTTGCCACCTAAGGTTATAAACCCAGTCTGCCTTGGTATTTACACACAGCTGGGAGGCGGGTGGTGGGGCAGAATAGGATTCATACCTTTCGGAAGGATATTATTATGTAAGTGAATGGAATGGTTCTCCGATTTCCAAATATGAATTATGATCAAACTTTGTATTTTTTTTTGATTTCAGGTGAAAAATTTAAAAATTACCAGTATATTTCACTTTGCAAAATTTTCCTTTAGAATTATAGTTTTAGTACGAGATATCGTTAACATTCATAGAATAAATATCATTCATAGACATAATCCCCATTTTGACATGTCGATTTGATAGTTGTTGTTTAGAGGTATATCAGCCTCTATGGATTATGTAAGGCCGAAATATAAATATTTTGCAAGCATTTCTTTTTTTAGGTAATATAATTAACCCATTGCCATGGGCGAATATGTGAATTCATACATTTTCATAGGGTATTTACGCGGAACAAAATATAACGAACACAACGAGAATTGCAATTCAGCTTTACGATTAACTATTCCAAGCCATTATGCACTATAGCACCTGGAATTTCCAAGCGGCCATGCATTTAGTTACTAACCAGGCTTGACGTTGCTAAAATTCGCTGATCATACGACGACCGGTGTTTCAATATAATGTGGTCGTAACCCTTTCGCATGTCGGATATGAAAGTGAATGCCTGGTTCAAAAGCTATTTTTACACTTCTCT